ACTGTGAGCAGGGTGAGCACCACTGTGAGCAGGGTGAGCACCACTGTAAGGAGAGACAGTGGCTACGAAACCCTGTGAAATTTCAGACCTGAGTGATCCCCATCTGAAACAAGTATCTGTGAATGCACTGCCCACCATGTTCCGGCAGTAAAGACAAGTGTGAGAAGTCGTGTTGCATGTATTCCAGCCTCCTTCCTGTGAGGGAGCTCATAACTTCCCAAGTGGATCCTGGGATGGCTAGTCTTGGTTGTCAGCTTGACAGCATCTGGAGTCAACCTAAACACAAGCCACTGAGCACCCTTGCGAGGGATTTTTGTTTTGTATTTTGAGACAGGGTCTCTCTCTCTGTGTAGCTATGTAGACCAAACTGGCCTCCAACTCAGAGATCTGCCTGTCTCTGCCTCCCAAGTGCTTGCTTTCTCTCTCTCTCTCTCTCTCTCTCTCTCTCTCTCTCTCTCTCTCTTTCTCTCTCTCTCTCTCTCTTCAGTACAGTGTTTCCATGTACAATCCTGACTATCCTGGAACCAGGTTGTAGACCAGGTTGGTCTTGAACTCACAGATATCCGCCTGCCTCTGCCTCCTGAGTGCTGGGGTTAAAGGCATGCACCGACACCACTTGGCTTCTAAGTGCTGTTTTAATTAGACTATTTTAAACAGGAAGACACACCCTGAATGTGATCCGCACCTTCTGGTGGCAGATAGGACACGAAAGGGACTAGCGAGGAGGCTCGGCAGTTAACAGTGCACACTGCTCCCTGCATTTGCAGAGAACCTGAGTTCAGTTCTCAGCATCCACCGCTGACGGCTCTGCCACGGCTCTGCCTTCCTCCCCTGACACTGGAACTGTCTTCTTCAGGCTTCCAGTGTAGACTGGAGATCAGCAGTGCTGCAGGAAGCCTCCAGGCCTTCCACCGCGGACTGGGACTGCTGAGACATCTGGTCCCACAGACTGAACGATTACCAGATTCTCTGCCTTCCTGTTGGGAAACAGCATCACTGTTGGACTTCCCAGATGTCATCCTGTAAACTGATCTAATAGATGCCTTTTAAATCTATATATTCATTCTGTAAGTTCCGTTTCTTTACAGAACGCCGACTAATACAGACACCAAATGGCACAGCCATAGCGACCTACTGACAATACGTTCACTGTCCGAAACCTGCTGGTAGATCACTGCCTAGTGATCTAGAAGGAGCGAGCAGCCATGTGCAGCCACCAAGTTTTACTCCTGATATCCTCAGCTGCGGCCGTCAATACATTTTGAATGGTCTTAGGATAGCTTGTCATCTTATAGTCAATTTTGTAAAAATCTAACTTTTTTTTAGTCGATCTGAAAGATTTGACTCAACTTCTGGAGTTGACAATGGCTCGGGATTGAAGATGGGAGAGCTGAAGCAGTGGAGAGCTGGGTGGGCTTAGTTTTTCTGTTTTCTTTTTTTAAAGATCTATTTATTTATTAGGTATACAATATTCCTTCCATGTATGCTTGCAGGCCAGAAGAGGGCACCAGATCGCATTATAGATGGCTGTGAGCCACCATATGGTTGCTGGGAATTGAACTCAAAACCTCTGGAAGAGCAGTCAGTGCCCTTAACCTCTGAGCCATCTCTCCAGCCCCTTAGCTTTTCTCCTCTTCATCAGATACGATGATAGGCAGTGTGAGGGCTGTGCCTGTGCACAGAGGCTCTTGGAGCTTCCCGAGTGAGGAACAAGTGAGACCGTTTATTATGTCTACAGAGGGCGGGGCAGGCCCACTCCCTAGTCAGGTGGACAGGCCTGGACATCTGTGCTCCTGGGCAGGAAGCTGTTTTTCCAGAAAGCAGCCTAAATACGCCTAGTGTGCATTCCTCTTGTCGAGAAGGAATTGGGGAAGGAGCACACACCTCAGCCCAATATG